TAGTCTCTGCCGATGCAGAGCAGATCAAAAAGAAATCCCCAAATGAGAGACCGAAGACACAGGACACTGTCTTCCCCCCACATATTTCTCCCCTGCGGGGTGGAGCAGAGAAATCAAAGCCCCCTGAGAGATATCAGGGCACTTCCCTTACTGTATTGTTGGGGGACATTCACTTATCCCTGTGAAGAAGAAGGGACAAGATCAACGCCTGACACATGGACAATTCTTCCTTCATGGCATAATTGCAAATAAAGTCAACAACTAATTGCCTACAGCAAACCCCACAAGTCATTTCTTTACAACACATTTCAATAGCCAGCACCTAATAACAACATCTCTAGTTACCTCTCCTTCTCCCTGCAGAGCCTGCAGTTCTTTCTTATAGGTCTTCTTCCCAAGAGTCTCATAGATTTTTGTCATCACTGGTATCTTCTCGCCACCATCGCTCATGGCTGTATGATATTTCGGCTCAGGGAGGTCTCCCATGAAGCGGAGGATAGTGATCCATACAGCAAGTGCTGCCTGCTCAAGGTAAAAGGTGCACTCCATTAGCTCACACCAGGGTGGTGGAGGGGGTGATCAAGTCATGTTGAATCCATCAGGATCACCACTGTGGTTTCTCTGTGCATAAAGCACTTTCGTGTGTCACACACCACAGCTTTGCCTGCAGCATACATCCCATGGAGCAAGCTGGGCAGGCTGGCAGCTGGGACCACAAATCTAGGCTCTGTGTTCACGCCATCATGAGTGTGTTTGTGCACCCTACAAGAGGTTTGCTTCTTGGCTAGGAGATGCCAACCTTACAGAGGAACAGCAACTGGCAGCTCCTAACCCACTGCAGAGGGGAAGGACAACCCTAGTGAAGGCAAGTTCATGGCCAATATAATGTTCATTATAGCCATGGAGGTTTGATACAGTTCTGCTCTTACAGTGCTGGCTACAGGATAAAAGTTTCTTCTCTGCTAGCTCTGCAGTGGTGCATACAACAAGGTAAGAAACAACTTTTCCAGCTGCTGCTGCTGGTACTTGCTTTTCATTGTCCATGCTCTAAGTCCAGAGTGCTTGATTAATGTCTTAACACAGATATTTAGGTGCAGAGATGGACTGACCACTCTAATGCTACATCCCTCTAATGCTCATTGTCTTGTTAGTGCTCAAAGCATGCTGGTGGGACACTATCTACTGGAACATGTGCAGCAGATCAGGGCTATGCTCTCCTCTGAACCACAAGCACAGCAGTGCATCCCAAAGGGAAGCTGCTGGTGTCCTTTGGCTCCCCAGGCTTGCTCCAACCCACCCTGCCCTGCTCAAGGTTTTCCAACCCCTGCCTCACCAACTGGTCTCCTTCGTCTTCATGGTACAAGAGAGGCTGCTTGAGCGGCCGGCGGATGTAGGTGTTTGTTGTTGTGCCCTGGAAATATGTGGCAGCAAACTTGGCAAATTTGTACTCTGAAAGATCTTCCTCCTCTTCCTCAGGGAGAGGCAATGCTGCATCCAGGTCTTCTTCCTCCAGCTCCTTCTGGGCTCGCTCAAGATCCTGGTGGGAAAGGACACGTCAGGCATTCAGCATGGTTTAGAATACCCCTTTCCCTTTGGGTCTCATGTTTCTGTTCGTCTGATTTCCATCCCAAAAGGAAAAGCCAGATGGAGGGAAACCCATGAAATATAATTCTGGAACCCATGGAAAGCCCAAGTCCTGAAGAACATGCCTGTGCCCAGGAATGTCCTATTCCTGAGAGAGGAAGGAGAAGCAACGAGCATGACCCTACTCCTAGCATGGGGAAAGGATGCCCAAAAGCTAAATGCCATGAAGATCCATGATGGAAAACATCTCAAAAGCCAGAGGTCCTCAGTGATTTCATAGTGGTATTGCTCTCCTCCATTTGTTAACTGCAGAGAAAGGCTGCAGACTGTCTGCCTGTCCCCAGCTACAGCATGGTAACCCTCTGGGGCCATATAGAAGAGCCTGGTCCTGAAGAAAGCCTTCAGAGACCCACTTCTGTACCACTGTGCTCTCCCCTGATTCATTAATGCATTGCCAAAGCTTTTCATGTGATAGCCAAGCTCATGTATGTCTTCAGTACCTCGAAGCCATTGGGTGCCTGTCCTTCCTGGCCAGGCAGAGAGGAGGTGGTCCCAAGGAAACCAAACATTTTATCCACCATTTCCGAGTCATTCACTGGCTCGTTGCGAGCTTTCTCCATCTTTTCCAAGAGCTCTTTCTTCCGACGTGCTTCCTCCTTCTCCTTCACTTCCCTCTCTGCATCTTCCCGAGCCAGCTGGGCCAGGCGTACCTGCCAGAGGACAAATACAGTGACTGAACTGCTCCTTTCTAAGAACTGGCATTAAAATCTGGCTTTAGAAAGGCAGAGTGCCCAGTTCTTGGGGTACTATACCAGCATCATGAGTTGGAGCAAATCAGTTTCATGTCCATGCTTCAGTTTCCTAACTGCAGAAGGACAAATCAATACCATTTTCTCCTTCCTTAGTGCCCTTTTAGGGGGTATGATCCATGCAAAGGCTCTCACTGGCCTCATTTCTTTCTTTTATACAACAAAAATGTATGTGCACGCACACACAGGATGCCCCAGCTTCCCTTTTGTCCCTTATCCAATAGCAAAAGCAAGTGAATAGTCACTGTAATCTCTGGCCTTCCTGTGCAGCAGATCCGAAATTCTGGAGCAGCTTCAAACTAGTTACAGAGCACTCCAGTGAACTGAATACAAACTGCTCAAGCAGGGCAGAAATCCCTTAGATATTTTTGGCATTTCCCCTCAAAGGAGCAAAACAAATGCCTGGAAAACAGAGACAGGACCCCAGGAAGCGATCGGTCCCCACGTACTTGGTGCTTCTTTTCTGCTTCTTCTTTGGCTTTCTTGGCACTCATCTCCTTTCGGAGTCGTTCCTCTTCTGCCAGGCGAAGTTTCTCTGCTTCCAGGCGTCGAAGATACTTGGGGAATAAACACAAGAGCCCTTCTGAATAGGCATCTCCTTATTAGTTTTCCACAGAATCATGGAATGGTTTGGGTTGGAAGGGACCTTAAATCTGATCCAGTTCCAACCTGGATGAGTGGAGGGACACCTTCCACTAGACCAAGTTGCTCCAAGCCCCATCCAAAACCAATCTCATGAACACATGATGCAGAAGCACCATGTTATTCGCGCCTCTCCCCACCTCCATTCCCCACACTGACCTCTGCTCCATGGTACTTACTTCCCCTCGGAGGCGCTTATACAGCCTTCGGGCAATCATGCCTCGGGCGTACGCCTGGATGGTGAGGACAGCCCAGAGGCGGTGCAGAGGCGGTGGCGGAAAGCCCTACGGACCAGGTAGCCCCGGCAGCGTGCCTGGAACTCGATGATCCTCCGGCGAGCCATGTGGTACTGCTTGTGGAGCTTGCGGGATCGGTAGAGCGCCTGCAGCCTCAGGAAGCCGATCCGCATCTGCAAGAGGGAGCGGGATGAAACCACCCCACCACGCAGGGGCTCGCCCACCATAAGCAGATTTCCATTGCTAATCTCCTGCTCTGTTGTAAATACGAGCCACTAAATCAGCCCCCGCCAGGACAAGCTTTCAGGAGGGAGGTTCTCCAAGAGGGTGAAGAAATGAAGTCCTCCAGCTGCTGCACTGATTCAAAGAGGAAGAGCAAAGGGACTTTCTTTCCCATTGAGTCCTACAGAGTTTCTGCCCTTGAGAGGACTCAGGAGGTCTGGTTGGTTATATCTTAACGGGTTTAAGCTTAAACAGGGGAAGTTCAGGTTAGATATAAGGAGGAAGTTCTTCACAGTGGGGGTGGTGAGGCACTGGAATGGGTTGCCCAAGGAAGTTGTGAATGCTCCATCCCTGGCAGTGTTCAAGGCTAAGTTAGACAGAGTCTTGGGCTATATAGTTTAGTGTGAGGTGTCCCTGCTAATAGCAGGGGGATGGAACTAGATGATCTTAAGGTCCTTTCCAATCCAAACTATTCTATGATTCTATGATTCTATCTTATAGTAGTTGCAAGCCATAAGGGTTACTCCCACAGAGGCACAGCACCAGCAGAGCACCTGCCTGAAAGCCAAAGTGCTGTTTCCTGGCAGGAGGCAGCATCCTGACTAGCCTGGAAGTAGCTATTCCTATTAGGTTGTTGGCTTGTAGGATTATATGGAAACACTTTAGACCTCAAAACACTCCCCAAATGACCTGCTGTTGGGTCAGAGCTAGCTGGGGCAGGAAGAGAAGAGGGCTATGGACTGGATTGATGAGAAACCCAGATACGGTCCCACCTGGAGATGGAGTCTGGTTTTCAGAGGAAGCTGCTCTGAGGTTTTCA